TATCCTCAACAGCTTTGTATGTATTTGTTGGACCTCGAGATTTGAAATACAAGCAAACATCGTATTATGTTGATTCCAATAGATTTAACTATTTACTAAAGTTCCAAATATCCAATCGCCCGTATTTAACTATTATTGAAATTGGTAATAACAGTTGTTCTACTGTACACGATTTTACTCTCAAAGGATTAGAAGCTTTAGGCACGTTAAGGATTGGAGACAACTCATTTACCAAATATGATTATCAATATTATAACGGTAATTCAAAATCATTCCACATTGTCAATTGTGGTAAATTAGAATTAATCGAAATTGGTCAATATAGTTTTAGTGATTTTGCAGGACAATTTGAATTGAGGAATCTACCATCATTGAAGTCTATTCGTATTGGTATTGTTGGTAAAGGTTCATTAAATTTTTACTATTCTGATATGATTATTGAAAGTATGATTATACTGTTCATTATAATGAATTTTAGATCTTCCGAAACTCGAATCGATACAATTAGGTGATTATTCATTTGGTTGGTCCAATACTATGAAATTCGAAAGTATAATAAACAAATATTGATAATACTAATAATGATATAGATTTACCTCAATTATCATCAATTCGATTAGGATATTATTCATTATTTGGTAAATGGGGATACAAATCATGTTCATTATCAATGAAAAGTATTGGATTATCTAAATGAATGAATGAATCTAACTCATAGATCTTCCTAAATTGAAATCGATAACATCCGAAGGATATTCGTTATGGTCACCTCAAATAGTGAATATGGAAAGTATTGATATTGAAAATAGAATTGCTAATATAACTAGACATTTCAAATTGTAAAACGGTCGAATTATCGGGTTCATTGGCATATGTATATAGAAAGAGTATTTTGAGTAAGAATCATACTGATAAATAATGACATAAGATGTTCATTCTTCATTATCATCAATCATCAAGTCTATTTATTACCCAATAGATTTTTCAGTATGCAGTTATTTATCGCCAATGGACCTATATTCCACTAAATTAAAAGTGTATGATGCTGTCTGTCAAAGATACATTAGTTTTATTTTTTGCCTTTCTGCTTTCATATCATTAGAAGAAATCGAAATTGGAAATGAGAACTTTCCATCATCAGAAAAGTTTATTCTGGATAGTTTACATCAATTGAAAAGTTTGAAAATTGGAGGAAATTCATTTACGAATCATGAAAACAGTTATGGATTCGATTATACAAGATCATTTCACATATTGAATTGTGGTAAATTAGAATTAATCGCAATCGCTAGATATAGTTTTTCTGATTTTGCTGGAGAATTTGAATTGAAAAGTCTGCCTTCCCTGAAATCAATAGAGATGGGAGAATATGATAAATCTTCGAACTGCTTTTATGGCTCGTCTTTTATCATAAAAGGTATGGATGCTTTACTTACAAACATCATAGATTTACCATCTTTGAAAACTATTCAGTTGGGATATGACGTATTTGCAGTACCGTCAGAGACTGTAATTCATAGTACATGTCAAGAATTCTTTTAAATACAGATTGCCCTAAACTGAAAACTATCACATTGGGTAAGTATTCTCTGAGAGGTGAAGATAGTTATTACTGCTCACTACAGTTAACGGGTAATATTGATTATGGTATTTCACATTTTAGACCTTCCGCGATTGAAAAAGCTTTCGTCAAGTGGTTATTCGTTTGATAATCCTCGTTCAGTTAGGATTCAAAGTACTGTTGATAAACTAATTTATCATAGATCTTCCGAGAGTTTATTCTGTTAGACTAAATACACTATTTTATCGCCCATTTAAACATGTTAATGAAATCATTTTAGAAAGTATTAACGGGCATGATGGTAAATGAATAGACGTGGCAAACGCATTGGCGTCATACTTTTATTAATGAATATACTGTTGCCTATCTTTCTATTGCTGAGTCTACATATAGTGATATTAAGTGAAATCTATAGTAATTACTTTAATCTTTCTTTGTTCGTTTGTTGAAAGATGTAGTTTTCAAATCTATTGTTTATGATTGATAACCTTTGTTTCTTTGATTACAATAAACAGTTATCAACAGTTATGGCATTCTAATTCCATTTGTCCTGGTATAAGAAGGTTTTCTGTCTATAAAGAGTATTATGTTGTATCATCGTAAATAATGGCAAGTCCCTTGTGTATAAATGAGTTGCAGATCTATTGACTATGCGTGTAATCTATATGTCGTGCCATAATTATGCTCCAGTACCTCAATTTACTCCGTTGATATGAAATAAGATGCCTTTAATAGAGTTACCATTTTCATATTAAAAACTCAATCCATTTGTGAAAATACGATAGCGAAAAATCTATACAGAAATTCATATTTTAATTTATAAACGCTCCTATTTTCTTCACCATTCTTGTTTTAGCAGTCATACATAGAATAACAACCGTAATTAACGAGCTATTTTATCGAGAGATACCTACCTAGAGGTAGTTGTTATAACTAAGGCAAAAGCATATGATCTTTATCCATAGTAATCCTGTAACAGTTTTATATTGTTTTTTTCACAATCGTTTATAACGAGCATTGTTATAAGAGTGTTCATGAATATCGTATTATTTCTATTCAATACAATTAGAATAGCTATATGATATGTATTATTACCCAGAAGAATCTGGACAAGCATACACATTCAGCGACGCAAATAAGAATATAAGCACTATCTAAACTCTTCCTTTTAGCAAGGCCGTGTATAATAATACATAAAGCAAGCACAACCATCGTGGATGCGAAATAGTTATTCTTTTGTGGTGAAATTTATTAAATAGACTATTTTTTGTTACTATACTTTAATAATGAGTTCTGGATGTATTACTTCACTTAATAATTGAAATGTAGCTATATTATCTCATTTGAAAGGAGCTGAGTATCTATTGGGTGGGTATATCACTTTGGGAGAACCTGAGGCCATAACTAAGAATGGCAAACAGTATACTATTCAGCGATATCAAGGAACTCACAAGAACGAATTCCTTTTACGATCTCAAACTGGAGATGTGATTTTGTACGAAAACAACGTAAAAAAACAACAATGGAACGAGGACAAGAGTGGGAAGAAATTCGGGGAGTTTGTACGATACAAGAATGGTCGAGTGGATTTCAGTCAGTTATTTCAGGATATCTTGGAAGCAAACAACTTCACCTGTATAGTTAATCAAAAGAAAGGTCTTCGAATGGAAAAATGGTCAGCCAAAACGGGACATTTGCTGTATCATGGAAAATTCAACGAAAAACGTCAAAAGGAAGGCTGGGGTATAGAATATGACGAAGAAAGCGGAAATGTGGTTGTAGAAGGTATATGGAGCAAAGGGACATTGACAGAAGTGATTCGATGTTTCAATGGAGATACGATGACTGAATTGAAGCAAAACGGGGCAGATAGTTTGGACCCAACAAAACGAATTCCGATCTATATGGGTGGATTTCGCTATGATAAAGACAATGAAGCGTTCATTCGTGAAGGTGTAGGATGTCTGATTGATGAAAAGACTGGAATCGCAACTCTAGAATGTGAATGGAAAGACGGAAAAATAGTGAGTGGAGTGAATCTGACTGATGGATACTTCTATTCTCTTCCTAAGCCTGTACTTCAAGTATCTTCCCCTCCTATGCCGAATAAAGAGCCAAAATCTGGTGCATTGCCTATTCCTCCTCTAAAAATCAATGTAAAACAGGAAAGCACTCTTAACAATATGAGTCTGCAAGTAACAGATTTGGTGATCGCTTCGAATTGTTGTAATACTGCCATTATTCTGGATCTAAGCAAGTATAAGGAACTCCGATCCGTTGATATTGGTTCTGATTGCTTTCGTTCAATCAAGACATTTCGCATTGATAATCTGAGTAATCTAAGAAGTTTAAAAATAGGAAGGAATTCGTTTACTCGCGTGAAAAGTACTGATGCGTTTACTGAAGAGATTTCCATTAATATATCCTTTTCATTCCGCATAACAAACTGTGAAAACCTGGAGTCAATAGAAATTGGAGAATACAGCTTTTTTGATTTTTCTGGGGAATTTGAGTTGATGAATCTCCCTAGCCTTCAATCTATAAAGCTGGGTGCTATTTGCAGTATGTCAAACAACTTTTACTTCTCTTCTTGTGTAATTCGATGTATCATTGTTTTTGTTATCTAAATCGACAGCACTTCCGAATCTCAAAACTATTGAATTTGGAGATGGAACTTTTCACAACTCTCTTTCCACTATAATGGAAGGTATGCCGTTATTTTTCATGATATCATAAAAAAGATTTACCTTCGCTTGAGTCAATCATACTTGGTGAACGAGCTCTCTGGGGAAGATATAATAATAAATGTTTACTGATTATGCGAAGTACTGCACTGTAGTCAAGATGACGAGCAGATTTACCTTCCCTCATAACCTTAGAGTCGAGAGGCGGTGCCTTTGTCAATCCGTGCAAAGTGATATTGGAGAGTAGTTTGAGAGATGCTTTGGGAATGTAGATATTATGGCCTTACAGTCCGTAAAGCTCCCTGGCACTTATAATTATTTTCACAGTTTTAAAACACCTTTTTGTCGCTGTATAGATAAAATGCTGGAAAATATTGCTCCACTGGTAAGTATTCACATAGTTATTTACTCCTAAGTTGGCTATACTCATTTAAGTATAATTTGGAATAAGAATTCCTTTCACTTTGCTGTAACGTCATGCATTCTGCTTCTTTTGTTAATAACAATTTCTATAAAAGCAAATAGTATACATTGCATCTTAATAATTATATTTTGTATATGGAACTGTCTAAAACTATTACTGTTGAACAATCCAAGCCGAATTCGTCTAGGAAGGAAAGAATTGTGTGTGTTGCGAGACGACTTAAGTCATATAACAAGAGAATCCATCAATAACCTCACTTCTCAAGACCACCACTTAGTTCAACAACTCGCAAAAACCATTCTTTCTCAACGTCACCTTATTCCTTCAGGACCTATTCTCCACTCACTTTCTCCTTTTCTACGTCTCTTTCCACTCCCCCACCTCGTTTCTCTTATTTGCTTCGATTTCACCCTAGTTACTTCTTTCAACATCCTCCGAGCAATCCATTATTGAAGAGAGTGGTTGTAAAGTCGTGTTTCCCGGGACTTTCAGCGAAGGCCGTTTTGTAACATATTATCCAAACACAAATCAAGTAGAGCTGTGCGATAACTAATAATTGGTGTTTGTTGGAATGGCGAATAGTGTAAATTGAGAATGGTGGAAAGCGATGAAACGCCCAAATGATTCCCTATTTCTCCAGTTGGTGAATAAACTCAGAGATTCATTTCGTTCAAGGTAGAGAACAAAATGTTCGGACGTTCCTTCTCTGGAATTCGTGGTGTAGGGGTTTGGTGACGTTTTGTGAGAGTCTAGGTTTCTAAACTTGCCAGAAGTTTTGCGACTGAAGGTAGGGAATTTTGAGGTGGATTGAGTGCGTAGGCGAGCTTCCGTTCAAGAAGATCCTGGTAGCTAACCGTGGAGAGATTGCTTGCCGTGTGTTCAAGACCGCTAAGCGCATGGGTATCAAGACGGTGGCTGTGTACTCGGACGCTGATCGCAACGCCAAGCACGTGAAGATGGCTGATGAGGCTGTTTACATTGGTCCTTCTCCGTCTGCCCAGAGTTACTTGGTGGCTGATAAGATCGTTGAGGCTTGCCGTAAGACTGGAGCTGACGCTGTGCACCCTGGTTATGGTTTCCTTTCTGAGAACTGGCGTTTCGCGGAGACTCTGGAGAAGGAGGGAATTATCTGGTGCGGTCCTGGCAAATATGCGATTGAGGCTATGGGAGATAAGATCGGTTCGAAGATCCTGGCCGTGAAGGCGAAGGTGAACACGATTCCTGGTTTCAACGGCGAAATCAACTCGGACGAGGAGGTTCTGCGCATTGCGAACGACATTGGTTACCCTGTGATGATCAAGGCGTCGGCCGGAGGCGGTGGCAAGGGAATGCGTATCGCTTGGAACGACAAGGAGGCGCTGTCTGGGTTCCACCTGTCGAAGCAGGAGGCGAAGTCTGCGTTCGGCGATGACCGCATGTTCATCGAGAAGTACATCGAGGAGCCGCGCCACATCGAGATCCAGGTGCTGGGCGACAAGTTCGGTAACTACTGCGCGTTCCCCGAACGCGAGTGCTCGATCCAGCGTCGCAACCAGAAGGTGATCGAGGAGTCTCCGTCGGTGCTGCTGGACGAGGAGACGCGCACGGCGATGGGCAAGCAGGCGTGCATGATGGCGAAGGCGGTGAACTACTGCTCCGCGGGCACGGTGGAGTTCCTGTGCGACAAGCACAAGAACTTCTACTTCCTGGAGATGAACACGCGTCTGCAGGTGGAGCACCCGATCACGGAGATGGTGACGCGCGAGGATATCGTGGAGCAGATGTTCTGGATCGCCGCGGGCCGCAAGCTGCCGGACCGTCTGATCAACTGGCCGCTGAAGCGGTACGCGCACGCGATCGAGGCGCGCGTGTACGCGGAGGACCCGCGCCGGAACTTCCTGCCGTCGCTGGGTCTGCTGACGAAGTACATCGAGCCGCGCGGCGAGTTCGTGCGATGCGATTCGGGCATTCTGGACGGATCGCAGATCTCGATGTACTACGACCCGATGATCTGCAAGCTGGTGACGTGGGGCGACGACCGCGCGACGGCGATCAAGCGCATGGACGAGGCTCTGAACACGTACATCATCCGCGGCCTGAACCACAACTCTGCGTTCCTGCAGGACGTGATCCGGTCGAAGCGCTTCGGCTCGGGGAAGATCACGACGAACTTCATCAAGGAGGAGTACCCCGACGGCTGGACGGGCTCGCACCTGACGGAGACGGAGGCGGAGCAGCTGATCGCGGCGACGATCGCGGTGCACCAGGAGCGTCTGGCGAAGGAGGCGACGAACGACCAGCAGATGGAGTCGTACGAGCCGGTGTGTGAGAAGGACCTGGTGGCGACGGTGGGCGAGAAGGAGTACAAGGTGCACATGGAGTTCGAGGGCGAGGCGATGACGCTGGAGATCGACGGAAAGAAGGTGAAGGTGGAGGACGCGGGTCTGGAGAGCGACCGTCCGATCGTGAGCGCGAAGGTGGACGGCGTGGACGTGAAGGTGCAGTACTTCGAGCCCACCACCGAGGGATACAGCATGCAGTACTGCGGAGGAAACTTCGACGTGGTGCTCCGCAGCGCGCGCGCCCAGGAGCTGAGCAAGTTCATGATCCCCAAGGTGCAGCCCGACACCAGCAAGTTCCTCGCCTCCCCCATGGCCGGATCCCTCGTCAAGGTCCATGTCAAGGAGGGCGATCGCGTCGAGGCCGGACAGCCTCTCGCCGTCGTCGAGGCCATGAAGATGCAGAACGAGCTCTACGCGCAGAAGGCCTGCGTCGTCAAGAAGGTCTACTTCAAGCCCGGACAGAACCTCGCGCTCGACGATGTCATCATGGACTTTGATGTGTCCGCTTAAGCGAACGAGCGAACAGGGAAGGAATAAAGAAGGAAAGAAGGTGTAGTCGTAGTAATAATCATCGTATAACAACAATATGAATACTGAAGTGTTTGTTGGAAAGAAAACCTTGTTGCATGATATGGGAGTTAGGAAAGATTGATTCTGATGTGGAACACGCAAAAGGATATCATTATGGAACCTTTGCTGGGAACATAGCGAATCTATCAAGAACTGTGGTATAATAAGGTAGTTTTATGTTTGTTGTGAAATATTACAAACAAAATGAACATGTGAGTGAGAAAATGGCTAAAAGTCTGGAAAGCCATATTCCCTGTCATGAAGAAGAGTTAGAGCTTAAGAAAACGCACGAATTGAAAAAAGAAGCAAGGTTGTGCAAACACTAACAAATCAAAGATTTTCTATGTGCATAATCGGCAAATACAGAATTGTTATATATTGGAAGGTAGTAAATGAGAAAAGAGTGAATGGAAATGGAAGTCATCGTTTTTTTGGTAATATTACCTATGCGGATAAATTCAAAATGACTAGTTATACATATCCATATATGTACTGGAAGAAGGTGCGAATTTGGTGATCGATTGTTTGGTAACCTAGACTTTTCATACATGTTGCAAATGATTCCCTATATTCCCTATATTCATAAAATTCGAACATCTTTTGCTTTCCTATTTATTCCGGAATGTTCGATAGAATTCTGGATCTTTTGGAATCGTTTCCTAACTTTTCATAATTTATTTATTTGATAGAACTAAGTTAGTGATAGTGATAATGAGCATTATTTTCCGTGATCCTTTCTTTGATAACTTTGATGATCTCCTGGTTTCGACCTTCCCCAAGCAGCATGACTTGGATTCTTGGTTCGGTGATGGAATTCGTCGTGATGTGATTACTCCGTTCAGTGGATTTGGTCGAATGGACATGAAGGAGAACGAGAAGGAGTATGAAATGAGTGTGGATCTGCCTGGAATGGACAAGAGTGAAATCAAGATGCATGTTGAAGATAATGGACTTGTGATTGAAGGAGAGAGAAAGAGCGAGAAGAAGGAAGAGAAGGACAAGTGCCATTTCTGTGAGCGCCACTTCGGTTCTTTCCATCGTGAAGTATCTCTTCCGAAGAATGCGAATGTGGATGGTATTAACGCGATGTATGAAAATGGAGTTCTGAAGGTAGTGATTCCCAAAAAGGAAGAAAGCGCCCAGAAGAAGCAGATTTGCGTGAACTAAGTGACGTGATGTAATGTAATGTGATGTGATTTTGATTGTTTGTTTGTTTATAAACTAACAAAAATGTGGTGTAAAAGATCGATGCTCTCTGTTGAAACTAAGCGCAATCATACATGGGTTGGACTGTTTCGATTCCTCTATAACACTTTAATTACAATGCTCTATGACACTTATATTCAGGAATATCCATACTTTACCAATCCTTCAATTCAAAACAACACAATACTCTCTACTGTTCACATAAATGGGTAAACTCCTTTTGAATCTTATACAACTACATCAATAAGATGCTAGTAATAATCGCAATCAATGTTTTTCCGACTCAATGTTCACACTTTTCTTTCATTTGAACTACTCCTTTATTTCTTTCGTATTCCCTATTACTAAGGAGCATAATGAAGAAAGCAAAAGAGGTAATATTTGATAATTACACTAGAAACACTTCTATGCCTTCGAAGAGGGTAAATAGGAAAAATGTATGGATTATAGTAAGCATTCATTCTAGTTGGAAGCAGAGAGAAAAAGCCTTCCTGTGTTTGCCTATCGGAAAGACATTATTGAATCAGTAAAGAATAATCCCACTACAATTATTGTTGGAGAAACAGGAAGTGGAAAAACAACTCAAATTGCCCAATACCTGCTAGAATCTGGTTATTTTAAGTAAATGCATTTATTTTCGATTATATATAGTGATGGTGTTATTGGAATTACTCAACCGCGTCGTGTGGCTGCCATCACTGTAGCCAAGCGAGTTGCTGAAGAAAGAGGAACAGAACTTGGATATGGGATTGGCTAAATTGCTCGATTCGATGAATGCACCTCAATGAACACTTGTATCAAGTTCCTAACAGATGGAATGCTCCTTCGTGAAGCCATGCTGGACCGTGAATTATCCCAGTACGCATTCAATCAGAAAAACTAAAATTTCAGATATAGTGTGCTAATCCTCGATGAAGCACACGAACGATCCCTTCAAACCGATATTCTGTGTTCTTTCATCCGCTATGTACAGCAAAGCCGAAAAATCCGTTTGATCGTGATGAGTGCCACCATTCAATGCGAACTATTCGAAAATTTCTTTTATCCAAACCACTCTGGATCGAATTTCCCAAACCACATCATTCAAATCAAAGGCCGCACTTTCCCCGTTGAGATCTAGTCATTGTTTGGAATGAAATAAACGATAGTTACACACCCACACCCGAACCAGACTATTTAGAAGCTGCTTTAATCGCCATTCTCCAAGTACTCATTCATTCTCTTCTTCTCATTCTTTCAGATCCATTTAGATCTTCCCACTGGCGATATTCTCGTGTTTCTCACCGGCCAAGAAGAAATTGAATCACTGGCAGAAATGCTGGAAGAAAAGCTTC